GTCTACACACTTAAGGTTCGGTGACGCTAGGGTTGTAGGGATATGTATATGCAGTAACCCGAATGTTGTTCGGAGTCCCGGATGAGATCCCGGACGTCACGAGGAGTTCCGGAATGGTCCGGAGGTAAAGAATTATATATAGGAAGTGCTGTTTCGGCCATCGGGACAAGTTTCGGGGTTATCGGTATTGTACCGGGACCACCGGAAGTGTCCCGGGGGCCCACCGGGTGGGGCCACCTGCCCCGGGGGGGCACATGGGCTGTGAGGGGTGCGCCTTGGCCTATATGGGCCAAGGGCACCAGCCCCAAGGGGCCCATGCGCCTAGGGTTTCCAAAGGGGACGAGTCCTACTAGTGGAAGGCACCCCTAGGTGCCTTGGGGGGGAGGGAAACCTCCCTTGGCCGCCGCCCCCCTAGGAGATTGGATCTCCTAGGGCCGGCGCCCCCCTCCCTAGGCCCTCCTATATATAGTGGGGGAAGGAGGGCTTTTCATCCACGCCTTTGGTTGCCTCCCTCTCCCTCTCCAACACCTCCTCCTCCTCCATAGTGCTTGGCGAAGCCCTGACGGAGTACTGCAGCTCCACCATCACCACGCCGTCGTGCTGTTGCTGGAGCCATCTTCCTCAACCTCTTCTTCCCTCTTGCTGGATCAAGAAGAAGGAGACGTTACGCTGACCGTACGTGTGTTGAACGCGGAGGTGTCGTCCGTTCGGCGCTAAGATCTCCGGTGATTTGGATCACGTCGTGTACGACTACTTCATCCCCGTTCTTTGAACGCTTCCGCTCGCGATCTACAAAGGTATGTAGATGCATCCGATCACTCGTTGCTAGATGAACTCATAGATGGATCTTGGTGGAACCGTAGGAAAATTTTTGTTTTCTGCAACATTCCCCAACAGGCATAAGGAAGAAAGAGTTGAGGTTGGAGAAGAGGAAGGATCTTGCTTTCACTGCATCAACCACCTGTAGCTTTGTTTCCTGCAAGCAAACAGCATTCGTCCGGCAGCACATAATTGCGTCCTTAACTAACTTGCATTTGTCAGAGTTCCCAAGGCCACGTACATTCCAGTTTAAAATCCTCATTTAAAACTTGAGCCAAACACATGTGAAGGAGAGCAAGGAACAAATGCAAACTAATCATTTGATAGATGGGGTGCTCAACCGAGCTTACATGGATGCAAAGGCCATTGAGGCGCACTACAGATCTTACAGGAATGCAGGAACTAAAGAAATGTAATGTAGCCGCTAGCGCGTGGCTAGGGAACCAATCTACATGGATGTAGAGACTGGCAGTCTGAATGCAACTAGGCTGAAAACAACTTGGGTACACGGCACAGCAGGAGACATCATGCATACGGAAAGCTTGGAGCAGCACCCAGAGTTTGCTGCAAGTGGGCTTAGCCATGGGTGGACCTTGAGGACGTCCCGGAGCTCGAAGCGCCGCCCGAGCTGGTAGTGGGTGATGGAGGCGCGGCGCCGTCCGCATCGGCCAGCACGGCGTCTGCATTCAGATCACAGCACCGCGCGATTTGGCGGATCCCCCCCCCCCTTGTGAGCGGCCTGGGGGTATCCTGGAGAGGCAGTTCGAGGAGTGATGCCACACACTCCGTCTTGGTCTTCTTTCGTCCCGAGGAGTGGCGACGAGATGGCCCCGCCCCCAAATCGGGAGCGATGCCAGCCGCTTTGCGCTTGGAAGCGCGCTCGATGGAGCCAACCCGAGCCCCATCGTAGAGCTTCTGGATGCGCGAGCTGCACCGGGGAGAAGGCGCAGCATCCAAGTCTGGAGAGGCCCTGCTGGGTGGAGCAACCTGGAGGGGTGGAGCTGGGTCGGCGGCCGTTGGGGTGGCAGCAAGCTTGAAGGGGACAAAAACTGCTGGAGCGGCGGCCAAGGGAGGTTGGGGGTCATCTGAGATGGTGATGGAGGGTGGGAGGGAAGGCATTGAGATCTGCCGTAAGCGGATCCTGCGGTGGTGCCCTGCAACTACAGAAACTGGTGGCAACAGTCGCAGGGAGGAGGGCACAAGCACCATGCCTCATATCTGAGTTAGCCACAGGAGAGAAGAGGCTGTTGGACAACAGGCCCAAGACTGGTGATGGCATCTTGGAGTAGGGCCGCGTGCATATGGACTTAGTGTTAAGGACTTGATGGGCCTGGACCTTGATCTGGGCCAGGGGAATCCGGCGTGTAGGATCGAAGTCTGTTTCCCCGAGTGAAAGTAGGGGCCCATCAGCTGGCAGTAGGCTAGGAGGGACGGTGGGAGGATTGAGGGATGATTTTCATGATCCAGGACTCCAATTTGATGTTTGTGTTTATCCATCCTCTTATTTCTAACTAGGTAAGCTAGATGCTAGCCCTAAATTTACATTAGATCAATTTTTTTCTTATGTCGACATATATAGCTAATCTCAGTCGCCTTATGTTTTTTGTTGCCATCAACGACAACAATAGCAACAACAAAGCCTTTAGTCCCAAATAAGTTGGGGTAGGCTATGTTTTTTTTTGCTGCCATGGTAGGCCAAATTTTAATTTTAGGATGCATTGTGCTATGATTTTCATCGTCCTCTCAGCTAATGGGGTGGTTTGCAATAGTGGGATGTCCAGTTTCCACCATGTATATTGGATGCATTTACCGCCATTTCATTACAAGCTCTTTCTCTATGTATTAACTCCATTGGATCATGCGAACCAACTTGTGCTTCGATGGTTAGAGGGACTGTGGCATCCCCAGCCCATCAGGGTTCAAATCTTGATGCTCACATGGATTTATTTCAGGATTTCCGACGTTGCGCATTCAGTGGGAGGAGACGTTCCCGTCGACGACGAGGTGCCTACGTGACTTTGTAAATTTCAAGATGATATGACGGACCAGTCTTTCGGAGGTGCTCATAGGGATAGGGTGTGCGTGTGTGCGTTCATATGAATGAGTGTATGCACGTGTATGTGAGCGCTTGCGTCTGTATTGTGTTTAAAAAAAACTTCATTGGATCCCTTCAAATCTTTATAAATCAGGCAATCCAAGATGAAAAAAATAAATTTCATTATTTACTGAGGGAAGAGAGTATGCCCAAAATTTGCTGCCACGATAGACCAAATTGTATTATACTACGGATTTTCATCTTCCTGTTCAATATCCACTATATAACTAAAGTATATTCATGTACAACCATAGATTATGCAACTGTTAGTTACTAGTAGATCCTTGTATGTTCACTCTACTGGATTCCTCGAGATCTATGTAAATCAAGTAATCCGGTATGAAATGATAAAATTCAAGATTGACCAAGGGAAGAGAGTGCGGTGCACGATAGCGAGGCATGTGCAGAAACAACAAAGAACCAAGGTAGCACGCACTTGCACTTTGGAATTGAATTTTCAGGGGTTCGACATGTACTAATATTCAGATTATCCAGTAAGTATGGTGCTTTTAATTATGCAACACAACACCAAGTCTTGCAATATTAATGTAAGTTAGCGAGCTTCATGTTTAGCAACATAGATCCATGTTGTATTGTTTATAGGTTAGGCAACAACGATTGTGCTTCTGATCAGCAAGTCTACCGGTTCCTTTCGTATTTGGCCGACGTGCAACATATATGCCCCTGTTCTGACTAGACAATTTTTCCTTGAACTTTTCTTTCCGGTGAGAATAAAGCTTATGCTGCCATCATTTTTTCCCGATGTTGTTGCAAGCTCATCATATGTATGAACTGCGCCCGTCACGCACGTATTTTCTCTGTTTCAAAATAGATAACCTAATTTTATACTAACTTTGTACTAAAATTAGTATAAAATTGAGTCATTTATTTTGAAACGAAGGGAGTACTCACGATGCTAAGGTTTGACCGGCAAGTTTCATCAAAAACAAATCATCATTCCAAATCACAGCCGCCACGCCGTAGTGCATTTGCGCCGCGCCGCGCCTGCCAACGAGCCTACCTTATAGTGCCGCCGCGCACTCGCTAGTGAACCTGCCTTGTACCCGTCGCCGCCTTGCGCCCAGCAGCGAGCCTGCCTTGCAGTGCCCTTGCCTCCAGCCGCCGAGTCTTTTCTGCCTCCATCGGGGAGC